GAGAGAGAGAGAGAGAGAGAGAGAGAGAGAAAGGAAAAGAAAAGTTCAAAGAAATGGTTTCTCTGCTTTGAAGATACAGTGTATTTTGAAAACTACAGATGTCATCCTTCCTTTTCACACAGATGGGGAACTGAGGCCCAGAGGGCAGGGACTTGCGCAGTGCTCAAGGCAGGCCTGAGTGGCTACAGGCCGGGCTGGAGAGTGGACACTGGCTGCCCTGGCTTCTTCAGTCCCCCAGGGACTGCTGTCTAACTGCAAAGGGGCGGCCTGGGGTGGTTGCTCTGGGATACCCTTGTTCCTTTAAGCAATTGAGCAACTCTTCATTGACCATCATTGTTGCTTAGGGAGAGGAAGATGTATGTAATATGGAAAGTATGTGAGGTTTGGGGCAGGGGAGGGGTTAAGGGAGGACTGTTCTTAGATCTGGCTTGAATGTGGATTCACTGTGTGAAATTTTGCAACCCATACGTCCTCCCAAAGACCACAGTTTCCTCATCTGTAATGAGAAGACTCCCATCCTAGTGGTGTCCCTTCCTAGTGCTGGAGTGAGGAGCTCATTCATTTGCTTACTCACTCACCCATTCACTCAGCAAAAACCCGAACTCAGAGGTACTAAGAGGTTGTGGAAGACTGATTGAAATACCAGCAGCTCTGCTCTGATGAAAATCAGGGATGGGCAGTTTCTCCCTAAGCCAGTGGCTAAAGGGTTTCGGCCCAATGCTAGTGATATAATTATAGTTCCTGTTCTAAAGCATCATCATAGTTTAGTTCATTTAATTCTCACAACCCTGTGAGGTAGATACTGTATCCCCATTTTTTTATGTGGGGGAAATGAAGCATACAGCGATTAAGCAACTTATTTAAGATCACACAGCTAGTAAAAGGCAAAGCTGGTATTTGCCTCTTGAATTTCCTGGAACCCAGGCTCAAAGAACAGGAGCTGCCCACCTGGAAATCTTCCTTTTTTATTTTCCTCAACTTTTTATTCTTTCTTCCTGATAAACTAGCAAAACCAGGTTTACCCCAAAGGTGGGACCAGGTCGCTTTCCAGTGTTAAAGAACAACATTCAACCAAGTAAATTTGAAGATCTAGTTGGCTTTAGTAAGTGATTCATGGGGATTCATTGCTTCTAGCAACAAGAAGGGACCTTCAATGAGTTGTACAAAATGGAAGGTTTTTATAGGCAGAAAGAAGGTGAGACTAAGGAAGCTAAAAGAGTGGATTGTTTTAGACAGGGTCCCCTTCCCTTAGAGCAGTGGTTCTCAACCTTCCTAACGCCGCGACCCCTTAATACAGTTCCTCATGTTGTGGTGACCCCAACCATAAAATTATTTTCGTTGCTACTCTATAACTGTAATTTTGCTACTGTTATGAATCGTAATGTAAATATCTTTTTGTTTTCCGATGGTCTTAGGCGACCCCTGTGAAAGGGTCGTTCGACCCCCAAAGAGGGTCGTGTCCCACAGGTTGAGAACCGCTGCCTTAGAGGAAAGCAGGGGGTCTTATCAGGTAGTTTAACTCACTAGTGTGATCAGGAAATTCCAAACTGATTGGTTTAAAATTCCACTCTGAAGAGGCTGGAACTGCAATGAATTAGATTATTAGGTTTGGGTTTGGTGAGGTGGTTTAGCAAAAGTGACTCCATTTGATCTTTCCTTTCTCTCTCTGTCTCTCTCTCTGTCTCTGTCTCTCTCTGTCTCTCTCTTTCTCTCTCTCTCTCTCTTCCTTCCTTTCTTTCTTTCCACCAACCTCTTGCCAAGGGGACAAGAGGGGCCTGTCCACAACTCCTGCCCTGGCCTCTCACTGCCCTGGGCCTCTTGTGGGGAGTATGGAGAGAAGTGAGTCAGGCTGGGCTCCGGGAGGCTTCAGAAGAGGACAGATGCTTAGGGAGGAGGCTGTCATATCCAACAGCCAAGTGGGAGGAGGGGCACAGACCTTCTTTGAGTCTTTATTGGCATTTAGAAGCCCAGGCTCCAAAGGACCTTGAAGAGCCCCCAGTTTAGCCACACTTAAGATGCCTGGCTGCACCCTCCACCCTGGCAGAGACAGCCCAGCCCTGCCACCTTCCCTCAGCCACAGGGAGCCATGACTGGGCAGTTTTTTCCACCTTTCAGCAGCTCTGACCTTAAGCCCCCTGGGCTTCTATTCCTGCAGCCCCTGATTTTCCTCTGGGGCCCCTCAGGCCCGTCCATCCATAAGAAGCTTGGCACAGGAGGCTCTTGAGTAATCTTGGTTCTCTTCTTCCTTCCTCTTCTCTGCCCTCAGAGATTTGAAAGCAGTTGCCAACCTTGCTGGGCCTGACCTTCCGCCTAGGTCTGGCCAACACTTTTGTCTCTTTTCTGATTTTCTTTGTCTTGAGCTCCTTGGAGGTGGTATGGGGTTAAGGACAGTGTTTCCCCCTCGTGGGCCTATCCCTGGGACCACTGTAGGAACGTGGGCAGGTTATTTCCCTTCCTGGGCTTCAGTTTCCTGGGTACAGTAGTAGAAGCTCCACAAAAGGTGGTAAAAAGTAAATGAGATCATGCACAGGCCCAGCAATGGTTGGCCAACATGCAGAAAAAGGACCTCATTCCAGGCTGGCACCCTGAGCCTCAAAGTATCCTCCTGTGAGGATATAATCCCTCCCCTCCCCATTGTGGGGTGGCTTTGAGGGCTCTCCCTGCCTTAATTCAGGGTTGGGCGGGGTTTCTTTGACTTTTTTTCCTTAGGTTTATCTTTGTTCTTGGGTTTTTCTACAGAAGAGTGCCTCTTGCTGGGTGTGGTTCCCAGTGATATCTTGCCTCCCCAAGGCTGAGGCCCTGCTCAGAGCCATTTGGGCTAGAACTGACTGCTGTGGTGGGAGAGGACTCCTGGGGCTATCCAGAGGTGTGGTGGTGGGGCCCCCATGCCTCCCAGCAAGGGTGGAGAGAGATGCTCCCCTCCTGATTACCAAAACCTTCTCCTGACTCCCTTCCTGGGAACCCTGGGCCCCGGCACTGACCCAGCTGGGCACAGTGACGCTTCGGCTGGCTTCCAGGCACAGAGCTCAGGTTGAGCACAGGAACTTTCACTTTCTCTTTACTTCCCATATTCAGGGAGTGCAGTGACCTAGTTTTTAGCAGCCTTATATGTCCCTCTCTGCCAAGGAGACTGCAAGGCCTACAGCACAGGCCCAGTGCAGCCTGGCTCCAGCACTCAGGGCCGGCTGCCTTTAAACTGGCTTCACTTTAGCCACCCACCCACTTCCCTTGTCTCCACTTCCTCCCCATAACCCTGGCATACGCCAGATCCCAACCACCCTGGCCCTTTCTGTGCCCTTTGCCTCCTCACCACCTCCTTCAGGAAGCCTTCCCTACATGGTCACCATGATCACCATTGCCTGTGCCACTCAGTCCCGCGCACCTCCTGTGGTATCCCATCATGGCCTGCCTGGGATGTGGGAGCTAGAAGGGATGTTAGTATGGACTTCCCCATCTCTGCCTGTCAACCCAAACCTCCAAATCCTGGCATTCCATCCCATCCCCCCACATTCCTGTCCCAACCCACATTAATGTGACCAGACCTCATTGGACTGCCCTGCTGGGCCCTACAGTCCTCAAGGTCAGTACCACTCACTCTTCAATTTATCAGAAACCCCTCATTTATGTATCAGTGGCTGTCGCTCAACCACCACTGGCATGACCTGTAGTTACCTTCATCTCCCCTGGGTCTGCATCTAGCCCAAAGCTCCTGAGGGCAAGTTTTGATCTTCTTCCCCTCATGTCCCCTCAGAAGCCCAGCAGGGTTTGATTTAAAGCCCAGGAGACATGGGGGATCTGGCAGAGGGAGGGGAAGAGGACTCGCTGCTGGGTCATCTCCTCAGCCTCTAGGGTGAAAAAACAGCAGAGGAGAAGGACAGTTGGTGAACATAACCTGGGGCCATGGAAGGAATGGTGCTTCTTTCATTCTCCGGTTTATACCCTTCCTGCCCATGGCCAGGCCTCAGGGACAGGCTCCTGCCAGATAGGACTAGCTCAGTTTAATGGTCCTCTATGGCCCTCATTCCTAGCTCACCCAACTCATGCCCATTTTCACAGAGGGGAATACCTGGATTCCTAAGGCTAGTCCTCAGTGTCTTCACAATCTAAGCCTGGCTAACTGCTGTCCAGACATCTTTGGAGCCTCAAATCAGGGGTCACCTTGTTCCTGATCCCCTAGATCATGTCAGGTTGCTTTTTAAGTTCCTCTTGCGCTTGTGCTCATCTGCACCTTGGCCTTATCACACTGTTTGCGAGTGTCTGTTTACAGGCTGTCTCCTTTCTGTGTGTGACCTCTTGGAAAACAGGGTGTGGCTGATTTGTCTCTGGGCACCTAGCACACAGTACGGGACCTAGCACAGAAGAGGCGTTCAGAGAGCAGATGGATGTATCGGGATTGGATGGATGATGCAGCTGGATAGATGATAAATCCATGGATGGATGAATGGCGGAGAGATGGCTGAAGGATGTTGGATGGATGGGGTTCCAGTTCACATACAAATTGATGTGACTTCTATCCACTATTGATCTTGCCTGGCCTTGGCTTCAGCCACCTATTCTCTCCCTAACCTCAGCCCCTCCCTTGACCTTGCCTTTTCTGAAGTCATGACCCAGTTGGGCACAGGCTCTACCTCATCCCTCACTGCAACTCTGGGCCCAGCTGACCAGCCTCATCCCACCCAACACCTCCACATTCTTTCTCACACACTCCCCTCATCCCACTTCCCCAGTGCTGCCCTTCCCTGGTCCTCTTTTCTTCATCGGTCCCTCTGCCTTCTTGATTTCACCCGCCCAGTGTGGCCACCCCTCCATCCCACCCAGGTATGTTGTCTCTGGGCTCGTACCTCTAGCCCTTCCCAGTATCTGCCACACACCATAGATCCAGTCTGAGCTATCCAGCCTCCTTTAACGTTTTCCTTCAGAAGTCCTTTCTCTCACTGCCCAGCCCCCCAACATCTGCTCTGCACCCCTGGCCCATCCTCAACAGCCAGCAAGATCTCACACACTCATTCCCTTGCTCCTGTCTAGTGTATTCCCATTGCCTTGGAAAAAGACCCAGATCCCCAACATGGCCCATACGACCCTGCAGAATCCATGTGGGTGCAGATGTGCAGAGATATGTAAGGCAATATCAGGGATGTGGATGTGGATGGGATGAGCAAAGATACGGAGCAGGGCATCATGGTTGTCTGTTTGGCTGGGGTACTGAAGGGGAGCTTGTCCACATGGTCTGAGGTCTGAGCTGGACATTGCTCCAAAGCCTGACATCATACTTTTGGTGAGTGTTTTCTCTGCACTGAGACATTCTCCATTTTGAAATCATTGCAGCTTCCAAGCAGTTTAATAATGAGGTCCTGAAGACCCACAATGAGTACCGGCAGCAACATGGTGTCCCTCCACTGAAGCTCTGCAAGAAGCTCAACCAGGAGGCTCAGCAGTGAGTCCCCCCAGCACACAGGGTGACCCGGGCCCTTCATGGTGCTGCTGCTGCAGTCAGAGGGACCCTGGGATACCTGGAGGGACAAAGGTTTTGGGGGCAGACACAGCCAGACTTCAATAACCACTCTGCCACTTACCTAGGCAGGTTCCTTTGTCCCTCTGAGCCTCGGTTTGCTCCTCTGTAAAATGGGGTGACTCGGGGGCTCAGAAGAGACGTAGGTGTGATGTTCCTGATTTCCTCAGCGAGCCTAGGGGAGGAAGCATGGCCACGCCAGTTTAGGGCTCATACCTTGGGGCGTTCCTGGGCCATGCCCGCTCTGAGAAAGCACCATGGTCTCTGGCAGGTATTCAGAGGCCTTGGCCAGCACAAGGATACTCAAGCACAGCCCGGAGTCCAGTCGCGGCCAGTGTGGAGAGAACCTGGCCTGGGCATCCTACGATCAGACAGGTGGGTCGCTTTCCTGGCTCCTCTGCCCTCTGCCTGAGCTGGACCTAGGACAGCCAACATTCAGGTCCCTCCTGGCCCCAGTGCTTTCCGTGGTGTAGCCATGTGGCAGCCACAGGCCCAGAGAGAAAAGAAGCCCAGAGCTCCGCCTGCTCCCAGGGGCTGACTACAGCCCATCACAAGGTCTCTGATGGCTGGCTCAGGGCCAGGCCTGTGCTGGGTGCCAGGGACACAGAAATGAGTCAGACTGCCCAGACTCCCCCCCACCTCCCCGCTTTTGGAAGAGTTCCCAGCTGAGAAGTGGGGTGGGGGAGACAGACCAGCTCCGTGCAGAGTCTCAGCTTGACCCTGCAGGCACTAAAGCATCCCCAGCTGCAGAAGAATTTTACTTTTTGTCACATTTTTCTAATTTTTTTTTTTTTTTTTACAATACTGGTGTATTAACTTTTTTCATCAGAAAAGCACAATAGAGCCTTTTCCATGTGGGGAAAAAATAACGGGAAAGACAATTCCTCATCCATGGTTGCAGCCTGGAATGGTGATCCCACCACACTGACCAGACATTCCTGAGCTTCCTGGCTCTGACAGCCTAGCTTGGTCATGGCTTTTCAGGAAAAATGTTGGCGAGCGAGCGCTACCTCCCCTTCTGAAGCTTTCTCCAAACCCCAGTGGGAGAATGACTCCTCCTTCCATGGCCTCACATTCCTGGGAGTTCCCGGGGGAGGCCCAAGTGTTCCCTTGGTGTCTTCAGCTCTGTGGCCCTCCACAGAGGTGTGCGCGTGCTCCTGAGGAAGGCAGGAACCAGAAGCCCGCAGCTGCCTCCCCAGGCCTGGTTTTGGGCCTGGTGGGCCCCAGAGAGAAGGGAGAAGGATGGGAAAGAGCTGGCAGGAGGCTTGGTTCCAATCTGGCCTTGCATTGGCTCCCTCTGGAGCCTTGAGCAAGTCTCTACCCTCTCTGGACCATCCATATAGAGAGGGGGTTGGGTAGGTGGTCTCTAAGGCAGTGGTTCCCCACCCTGGCCGCACATTGAGATCTTTTGTGGTGCTTTTTAAAAATACCAGTGCCTGGGTCTCTCCTCCAGAGATGGCAGGACAATCAGTGTATGTCAGGCCCCAGGCATCAGCCATTTCGAAATGCTCCCCAGGTGAGGCCAGTGTGTAGCCACTGCTAAGGCCTTGCTATTGAAGTGTTGTCGGCAGACCAGCAGCAGCATCTGAGAACTTGTTAGAAATGCAGACTCACAGGCTCTACCCTAGACCTACTGAAATCAGAATCTGCATTTTAACAAGCGCCCCAGGTGATGTGTACACACATTAAAGTTTGAGGCTTACTGCCCTGAGGTCAGCAACTCCCAGGGAAATGCTGTGGGTTTTCTCCTGTCAACACCTGCTGGGCCAGTAGATGCTCCAGGTGTGGACCCTTCGCCCTGCCGTGGAGACCGTAGCCCACCAGGCCTTTCCTCCTGTGGGTAGTTCAGGAGCCAGACTTGGGGTGGGCTGAGGGCAGAGTCTCCGGGAAACTCAAACGATCATTAGAAGCCCTTGGAGTATGTTGCATTCAACCCTCTTGTACAGAGGCCCAGAAAGGGGAAGGCCTTGCCTAGGATTACACCGAGAGTTAGTGGCAGGGTCGGGGACACAGATGCAGGTGACCCCCCCACCAGGGCTCTTCCCAACCCCAACAAGGCCCTCTCTTCAGCCTGGGTGTGCTCATGGGCAGAAGTCCCTATTTCAGCTCATATTTTATCAGATATTTAACTGTGGGATGGGTGGTTTGGGGCTAATGGGGAAAGATGGAAGGAATAAGGAGTGGGTTGATTTTGCTGCTGAGTTTTAAACAGTGTATTTTCCATACAGGAAAGGAGGTGTCTGATAGATGGTACAAGGAAATTGAGAACTACAACTTCCAGCAGCCTGGCTTCACTTCTGGTACTGGTAAGTGACACAGTGCCTGGCCCTGGGCAGAGTTGCAGTTTGTCTGATTTCAGAGAGGAACTAACCCTCTGAAAATCAATCATTTCCCTCCTGTTTTACCTCTTCCATATTCTTCTGTCTTGACTTTGCCCAAAGGGTAAAACTTTCTTACGTGCACACACATCTAAGAGCTCCTGAGCTGCTGATTCCTGCCCCACCAGCTCCCAAGTTCTGAAGGCTGTGGATTTTAAAAGCTGCTGAGTGATTCTTTCCAGAAGTGGTGACTCAGCACTTTTCACCAGTCATCCTACGTCTAGCTTTGCTCCCCTCCATTCCAGCCAGCTCTCCAGCAGCTAGAATGTTCTAAACCCTCTCTGCTCATGTTGTTCTCTTGGCTAAACTGCCAGTGTCTTCCTGGGGCCATCAGGAAAAGGGCCAAGCCACTTGCTCTTCTCTTGGTTTTAATTTCCTCCTCCCTTCACACCCCCACATCCTTCCTGCCTTGTGCCCCACGCCTCCTCATGGCCTCCTGGGCATTCTCCCTTCACCTTTGTGCTGGAGTTTGTGGTTCAGATGAGCTTGAAATGCAGAAAGTCTGGAGCTAGTCTCAGCCCTGGCACTATTAGTTGTGTGAACTTGGGCCAACTCCCTGTCCTTCCCTGTCCCCGAGGGAGAGGGACAAGGTGGTAGTCACTACAGGACATTCAGAGAGCTGGTGGGGCTCCCAGCCTTTCTCATAGGCCTGTACGGTGAGCAGTAAACTCCTTTATCTTACCAAAGTCCCACACAACTGCTCTGAGCTCTGGGCTCCCTCTTGCCCATCACCAGGCCTTACCAGGCTCCTATCTTTCCTCAGAACCTACTTAGATCCACCTGGGGCCCAGGATGGGTTGGAAGAGGCTGTGAGACCAGAAGGCACCAGGGAAACCGAAAAAGGGATTCTTCCTGTACCCTCATCTCTCTACCCCACCCCATCCCACCCATGGGTGGAGCCACTTATGGCCTCCCACCATTTCCAGGGTGCTTCAGAAACAGGAAGTGACATGTTCTTAGAACACTTCACTGTTTCCTGTGGTTTTATGCTCACTCTTTGGGGCAGAGGTTCTTGCAACCATGTGGGCAGGACTGTGAAGCAGAGGTAGAAGCATCTGCTGAGGCACTTCTCCCCTCAGCACTCAGGCCTGGGAGGAGGAGGCTGCTGTCAGGTCCCTGAGGGAGAATTGATGGTTCTGTAGCAATTAAATTTGAGGGATATGCAAGGGAATGGTAACAACCTCCTACCAGTGATTCAAGGGTATATAGGCAGAACCTGGTGTCTTTTTTTATAAAGATCAGCATCCAGAAAACATTTGATTTTATATTGTCTGTGTCTCTTTCTTCCCATGCACAAGATTCATGAGCAATTGGACATGTACCAGAGCAAGTTATTAGTTTTGCTCCTGTGCCAGGCCACTGGACAGTTACAAAGGCCACATAAGCCTTGTAACACCATTTGAAAGTAGGGCTTCATTCCACCCATTTTGCAGAGGTGGACACGGAGGCCCAGAAAGGGAAAGGGACTTCTTTATACCTTCTATCCTCAATCTGACGCTCTTTTCATGGCCCCTGCTCCAAGGCAGGCATCTTGCAAGTGTCAGAGCTGGAAATGGGACTCAGTTTTCCATGATCACTGACTGCCTGTCTCACCCATTGCCCCACATCTCCCACCCCTAAAGAGGAAAACCCCAGAGTAACTAGCCTGTATACCAGTGGGCAGTGCCTGGCAACAGACAGAGCCTAATCCTAAAACGAGCACAGATTTGAGTGGAGTTATCATTGGGGCTTGCAAGACCCTTAAAGATCCTCAGGCCACACCCGCACCTCAGCTTCCCCCAGAGCTGTATCATTAGGGTCCCTGACCTCAGCCCATGTTATAGGTAAAAGGGCCTTTGAAATATCCTATAATCTCTCCCCACCCTGCCCCACCCATCAGCATCTTGTGAACACAGTTCTATGTTATGTGCTGAGTGGAAGGAGATGGTTTCTTGCAATTCCTTTGTTATCTATTTTAAAGAGTAGGTTTGTTTGTTTATTCTGAATAAGTAATACTTTTTGCATGACATGGAATTTGCAAGCTATATAAGGTGAAAAGTCTTCCTTCCATCCTCTGGCACTTTCCCGTGCAACCTATGGTACCAATTTCTTGTGTATCATACTAGGATTGTTCTGAGCTTATACTAGCATTTGTGTAAATAAGTCCTTTTTTCCCTTTTTTTATACTCCAGTGTCAGATACGTGATATGTTTTGCACTTGCTTTCTTCACACAGCAGATTGGCAGAGATTGTTCCATGTCAATACAAAAAGAGCTTTCTCATTCTTTTTTACGGTTGCATATTATTCCCTTGCAAAGCTATACTGTAATTTATTTAATGTGTTTTTCAAATGTATATTCTAAGGGGTTTGGGTCCATAGCAGGAAAGAGGATGTGATTCATTTATGAAAAAAAGAAAGAGGAAGCTGTTAGTAGTTTAGAGTTAGAAACTAGTGTGTACCTGATGGTTGCTAAGGAAGTCGTGTCCTTTAATTCATCTCTAAATATCCATACTTGATGATCTCTGTGCAGACAGAAACCTCCCCAGCCAGAAGAAAGATTACTTAGTGTCATCTGTTTGGAAAAGGCTTCCATAGGCATTCATGCTGTTGATGCTCATGTTATATCTGTAATCATATTCTTGGCAACCAGTGGATAAATACAGCTCTTCCTTTTCTGGGTGACACAGAGAATGGTGGGTCAATGGCCAAAGCATGTGGTCTTTGGGGAGAAAAGGCTTGTATGAAAAAGGATCTGGGCCTTAATGAAAACACAGCCTATAGAAGCAGTGACACCTGGCAAAGCTCTGAAAGCCTGGCACTGGACTCAAAAGCATAAAGACCAAGGGTGAACTGGCAAGAAGTGTTTCTCCTCTCTTCCAAGGTGAAAATCAGAGTTTTTTGAGCAATGGTTAGTACAGATTTAAGGATAAGTGGTAAAGATGCCTAATTGATGCCTAAACTTAAGATTTGTTTTCTTTTAATTCTTGCTTTGATTGTATCACATCAACTCTATTGATTAGTGTTTATATTTGGTTATTTCCAGAAAGAAAATCTTTTTTGAATGCAGACAAAGAAATTCACTATACCTGAATTTAAAAATTATAAAAATGGGGCCGGCCAAGCGGCTCAGTTGGTTAAGAGCTCACTCAAGAGTGTGAGCTCTGGGCAACAGGGTCACTGGTTTGATTCCCACATGGGCCCGAGCTGAGCTGCCGCTGAGCTGCCAACAAGTGGCAGGATGGCTCAAAAAAAAAAAAAAAAAATTATAAAAATGGAGTTCAGTTGTAAGGGAAAACATACATTTAATCCATGAACATTTATTCAGTCCTTACCATATATAAGACACACGGAAGATATCAACTTTTTCTCTTCTCTGAAGGATTGAAAAGTCTAGATACCAGATTCTCTTTCCTTCTTTTTCTTTTCTTTCTTTCCTTTGTTTCTTTCTCTTTCTTTCTTTTTTCTTTCCTTCTTTCCTTCCTTCCCTCCTTTCTTCCTAATTTTGTGGTAAAATTTACCATTTTAACCATTTTTAAGTGTATATAGTTCAATAGGACTAACTAAATGCACATTGCTGTGCAGCCATCACCACTATCCATCTCAGAACTTTTTCATCATCCCAAATGGAAATTCTGAACCCATGAAACAATAACTCCCATCCCTTCCTACCCCACACCCTCAGCCCTACTAACTACTGTTCTACTTTATGTCTCTATGAATTTGTATAGGTACCTTATATAAGTGGAGTTGTGCAATATTTGTCCTTTTGTGTCTGGCTTACTTCACTTAGCATAATGTGCTCAAGGTTCATCCATGTTGTAGCATATGCTAGAATTTCATTTCTTTTTAAGGCTTAATAATATTGCATTATATATATACATATATATGTATATATATATGTGTGTATGTGTGTGTGTGTGTGTGTATATATATATATATATATATATATATATATATATATATAAGATTTTATTTATTCATCCATTGATGCACATTTTCAGTTTTTCCCCTTTTGGCTATTGTGACTAATGCTGCTATGAACATCAGTGTATAAATACCTAAGTCCCTGCTTTTCATTCTTTATATACTTAGAAGTGGATATATACTTAGAAATGGAATTATGATAATTCTATGTTTAACTTTTTGAGGACCTACCCTACTGCCTTCCACAGCAGCTGCATGATTTTACATTCCCATCAGCAATGCACAAGGGTTCCAATTACTCCACATCCTCACAAACATTTTGTTTCTTTTTTTAAAATAATGTCCATCCTAATGGGTGTAAAGTGGTTACCCTCTTTCTTTCTTAACCACCCTATGGGTAACTTAGCTTCTCTGATTATGATTTTTCTCCTCCTTCTTCCCTCTGCTCTTTCTTTTTCATCAGACATTTTTTGAGCATCTACTATGTGCCAAACCCAGTGCTAAACACTGGGGATTTGGTGTTCGATAAAACAGATGTGGTCCCTGCCCTCTAAGAGGAAACATAATTTCTTCAGGGTTGTTTTAGCAAATGGATGCCATGGAAGTAAATATCCCACTGACCTGTCAAAAGATCTCTGTGAGTCCTCAACAGTAAAGGTGGGAGAGATGAACCCCCAACTTTTACTCCCAGGAGATGAGAAGAATTTATGGTCATTTAGCAGAGTACCCTTACAGCATCAACTCTTTGACCCCAAAGTGGAAGGGGAGTGGAAGCTAAGCCATGTTAACAGCTTGAAAGGATCAATGAGTAAGGGTCAGTTAGCCTCAGCAGTGGGATACTGATGCTGAGAAGCTCCGGCAAGTCACAGAAGTGTCTGGAGGGTCAGGCTGTAGCTTGAGAAGGAACTGGGCTGCTTGGCTCAGAGCAGAGGGGGTTGAAGGAGGCTCTACCTTGTCAAGGCCTCAAAGAGCTCACACATAGAAGGCCTCCACTTCCAGTGAGGGCAAAACCTGAGTCCAGGAGGGTTCTTCCATATGCCTTTCATTCATTCATTCACTCATTCATTCCATTCATTCAGTGAAAGTTTATTTTACATTTTTCATATGCCAGGCTGTGCCAAGGTACTGGGTATACTTTGGTGAATAAAACAATTTGATCTTTACCCATGTGGGGCTCATAGCCTAGTGAAGGAGCCAAGCAATAAGCAAGTAAATGAATCATTGCAAATGGTAAGAATATTATGAAGGGAAAAAGCAGATAAGACTAACTTTGGGTGGAGGTGTTCAGGAAATAAAAGTGATTGTGAAAGGCATCTCTGAAACTAATATAAAATAATATTGAATGTCAACTATAACTGGAAAAAATAATTTAAAAAAAGAAAGAAAGAAAAGAAAGTCTTCTCTGAACAAGTGACATTAAGTCTGAGGCCTAAGGGACAAGAAGACATTGGTCATCAGAAGAGCATTGCACACAGTGGCTAATGTGTGCAAGGGCTTCATGGTGGGAAATAACCTGGGGTTTTCAAGGACTGGAAAGGAGGTCCCTGGGGCCAAAACATTCCCTTTCATTCTAGGTGCAGCTGGAACCAATCAGGATTTTAAAATAAGGAAGTAAACAGATAGAATTTAGTCTCAAAATGATCACCCTGGCTACTTAAGCAGACAGGGAATTGGAGGAAGCGAAGGTGAAAGCTGGGGAATCAGTCAGGGGACTGTTGCAATGGCCCAAGTGAGAAAAGTTTGTGGTTGGGACCAAAGTTTTCAGAGTGGATGGACTTGAGATGTATTTTGGAGTTAGATTCATCAGGATTGAATGACGGGGTTGTTGTGGGGAAACGAGGTAGAGGGAGGAATGCAGACCAACTTCCTAGGATTGCGTGCACAGAGGTGCCGTTAATGGAAATGGGAGGGTAGGGAGAGGAGTAACTCTGGCAGGATCCAAATCAAGAGTGAGTTTAAATTTGAGATGTTGTGAGTCATCCAAGTGGAAATGTCAAGTAAGTAGTTGTGTCTGGAACACAGAGGAGAAATTTGGGCTGGAGAAATAAATCTGGGAGCCAGGGAAAGATGAAATTGCCTTAAAGAGTGCAGCAAGAAAAGAGAGCCCAGAGCCCTGGGAAATGAAGGTCCTCCAACATTTACAAGTGAGATCAAGAGGAGGAGGAAGAAGCTGTGAGATGGGAGGAATGCCTAGAGAGGTGGGATCATGGAAACCAAAAGAGGAGGGTGTTTTGAAAAGGGGAGGAGTCAACCCTATTAAATGTTCCCGAGATGTCAAGTAAGATGAAGACAAAAAGTAATGATTGGGGAGGAGCATGGAGATTGTTGGTGAAGAGTGCAGTTTGGGGGGAGGGTTGGAGGCCAGTGCCAGGTAGGGCAGCATCCTAACTATTGTGGTCACTGGGCTTTGTCATGATCTCTGGGAGACCATGAAACTTTGAGGCATCGGAAAGTGGTGACGTGAGTAGAGCCTGTGTGACTGACTAAGGAGGACCTGAAGCTATAGAAAATCAGGCAGTTCGTATGTTTTGTGTCTCCTTCCTCTGATTGGTGTCTGTGAAGATCAAGCTTTTCCGAGCCTGGCAAGGTGGTACAGGAGCTCAAGAATCCTTTGAAACATCCTTCTCCAGGCTCTGCTAACTAACCTGTCCCCCTCTCCCTCTGCCTGCTCCCCTGCAGGACACTTCACGGCCATGGTGTGGAAAAACACAAAGAAGATGGGTGTGGGGAAGGCATCTGCAAGTGATGGGTCCTCCTTCGTGGTGGCCAGATACTTCCCAGCAGGGAATGTCGTCAACCAGGGCTTCTTTGAAGAAAATGTACTGCCTCCAAAGAAGTAACTTGTCAAATGTAATGGGAAGGCGGCAGACTTAAGAACATGCATATGAAGTGCCTAGAACAACAAAAATTCAGCTGTGTGTCTGTCCTTGTGGGTATATGTGCTTGTGTGTGTGATCCATGTGCGTGTCTCTTGCACACACACTTGGATATACAGTTCTGCATGACCTCGTTCTTATCAAAGGAATGAGCATATGAAGCCTTTACCCTGATGGTTACCTAGACCACCATTATTTGGACTTTGGGGGGGGGGATCAATTTTTAAACTTTTTTGGTTACTTTTTAAGCAAACTTCTTTTGTACCTTATAATATCCATTTCTGGACTTTTTGTATTCCAAATGTTTGTGATACTGAGAAGTGAAGTTCAATTTCTGTGATATGCATGGTAATCTACTTGTAGATATTTAAGACTATTAAACCCTCATTTAAATGTGACATAAAACACAGCTTTAAACATAAACATAAAGCGGCTCCTATCAGAAACCTGGTGTAGGCAGGGGCTCCATTTCACAGAATTACTGAGATTTCTCAGTTGTAAGACGTGATGTCATCTGCACGCCTGCTGGAATTCTCTAATGGGATTGCCAAAGAACAAATGGAGAAGAAAGCTTTACTTTCTTGCATTTTTCTACCTTTAAATAGCAAAGTACCACTACCACCACCCCACCCTTTCCCTGCCACCGCCCCCCCCCCAAAATTTTTTCTTAAAGTTCTCTGGCATTTCAGAGCTCAATATGCACCCTGGGGGATTGGGCCAGGCCTGAAACTCACCCCTCCCCCACCTCTGCTAGGTGGCCCAGGGCCTGTTCTGGGAGAGAGCCCCTCAAACTGCCTGGGCTCCTGGCCAAGCGGCCTTGGATGGATGAAGTCAGTGAGCATGGGGGTAAGGGTGAGCTCACTCAGGGCCCCCAGAGGAAGCCCTCCAGCCTCTGCCCTCCCCCTGACACACAGGGTGGGAGCCCAGGCTGTTCCTGGCAGCTGTGGCTGCAGCTGTGCAGCTGCACCCTCCTGGAATGTGTGACAGGCCCAAATGTTCCTGGGAAATATCCCATGTGGGGCTTACAGTCACTACTTTGGTTCTGTGTTTTGGCTCAAACTGCACAAAGTTCCCCTGAATAGCAATTTCACATGATCCACGTGGGAGGGACCAACCCCAATGCTAAGCTGAGTACCCCTGAAACCATGGCATCTCTAGATGGTAAGATAAAGATAACAGGGGTAGGAATTGGGGTGTGTGTGGGGGGGGCGTGGGTACCTGCTTAAAGGCTAGAGCCTGAGCAGGCCAATCTCTGAAACTTGATGCTTCCTGAAGGTTTATGTTGCACTGTGAACACAGTCTCATGCTGTGCCCTTCATTTCACCCAGGGATATCGACTAGGACAACAATAAAATCTTTTTCTTTTGTGTAATATCTTCCTTCCCTGTGATTCATACCCGATTCTTTATTGGTGACTAAGATCATCCATAACTCTGAGTTCCCGTCTTAGGTGACTCAAGCTTCTGAATATCTCCAACCTCTCCCCTGTAGACTGTGCTCGTTAGGCAGCCATGTTTTAAACCATGTGACCTACTACCACACAGCTGACTGGACTAGAGTGAACATAGACCAGGAATTTGAGCTAAGCATCATGGAGAGAATTCACCAATGGAATTGAAAAATTATGGACGCCATGAGTTTGACTTAGGGCCATGGCAAGCCAAAGCTATATGCTGGCCAAGTTTTGAGTTGGAAGTACTGTATATAGAAGTGAAAAAGCCAGTTAGAGTACAAAACAGTTGGAAATACTGAAAGACTGTTCCTGAATTTTCTAATTCCAGGCCAGATCTGTGTAACTTTAAAACACGCACCTCATTTTCTTTAGAGCTTCCCAGCAATATATATGTAATCAACTAATGGTCCCCGGAAGGTTGGAATATTAGGGTCCCCTCCCCTAGGGAGTCTCTATGAACAGAAAATGCTGAGCTAGGCACGAAGCTGAGGATAGGTGAGGGCCTTAGGCTGAGGCCTTTTTCTGGCCCTATCTGGGCAGCCACCGTGAGCAACACGGACTCAATAACCAGTCAGTGAACCGTCCACCCAACACACACACACACAGCTGGTGGATGCTGGCATGCAGCCAGCCTCTTTAGGCTGAAGTCTGTTTCCTTAGTTAGCTGAAGTAAGGAAATAGCTGACCAGGGGAGCTTTCCAGGCTGAAGAAAAGCTAGACAACACAGCTAGCTGAGCAGGTGGGCATTAATCTCACTTTTTTTTTTTAAAGATTTTATTGGGAAATTGGGGAAGGGAACAGTGTTGGGGAATTGGGGAAGGGGAACATTGTGTTTTTTCAGGACCCATCAGCTCCAAGTCAAGTTGTTGTCCTTCAATCTTAGTTGTGGAGGGCGCAGCTCAGCTCCAAGTCCAGTCGCCGCTTTCAATCTATCAATAGTTGCTGGGGGGAGAAAGGGGGGCAGCTCACCATCCCATGCAGGAGTCGAACCGGCACCTTGCTGTTAAGAGCACGCGCTCTCACCAGCTGAGCCATCTGGCCACCCCTTAGCAGCTCAGCGGCAGTTCAACTTGGGTGCAGCTCACTGGTCCATGTGGGAATTGAACCAGCAACCCTATTGCTCGGACTTCGCTCTCTAGCCAACTGAGCCACCCGGCTGGCCCCATAATCTCACTTCTTTAGTGGATTTCTTAAAGATGGCAGCTACCATGAATTCAGCAAAAGCAGAAGACAAGCCAGATTCCAGCTCTCCCGTGTAGCCAGAGTATAGGGGAAGGAGTCAGGAACTCTGGCTCCAAGTCCTAACTTTGTGCACTCTGAGTTGAACAAGTCCCTTAACCTCTCTTGGGCCAAATTTGTCCAGCTGTAGAAGGTCTAGCACATGGAGTTAGGTCTACTGGATCCTCAGAAGTCTCTGTGACACCTAGACCCAACTTTCTTAAAATGGAAGCATCTCATGAGAGACCTCTCTGCCCTGGTGTTTTGGGGCCTAACACAAAAGCAAAGGGGCACTGCCACCTCCTCCACCAAAATTCCCTCAAGACTGAAGGGTGTTGGAGCAAAGGAGCGGTTGAAGCAGCAGGACCTGACCCACCCAACCCCTGTTCCTGGGTAGAGATGTCCTAGGAGGTGATGTCTGCCAATCTCTCTCATCAGGGCAGGACTGGAAGTCAATAGGGGTGAGAAGGTGTTTGGCATCAACACCAAGAAGCCTCATCCTCCACCCAAGTCGCTGCAGCTTCTCGAGATCAGGGCTGGAGGAGCAGTTAGAGACCAATTATTCTCACAGGGAGAGAAAGGAGCCAGGAGGAACTCACCTAAGGCCCACAGCTAGTCTGTGGCAGAGAGGCTGAAATCCAAGCCTTCTTCCCATGGGGAAAACGAGTTCTTAGCCTTATGCAGACAGGTATCTCAGGAGACTCAATGCTTCATTCCCTTGATTCAGGCATCAAGGTGAACGGATTCAGCATTAAAAGGTAGGTACTTTTAAATAATTTTCAAATGATCAAATGTCAAAGTAAAGAAAAAGCCAGGTCTGGAATGAAAGGATGAGGGAGAGACAATATTGATGAGAACTGGACTAAGCCAGGGAGGGAAAGAGCTGGCCGGCTCACATTCCCATGGCTCCTGGAGACACTGCGTTTTCCTAGCAGGGTCGCGAAGGATGCACTGAGGGCCAGGAGTGGGGCATTGAGCCCAGGTTAGAGGAGATGGGGGCGGGAGGCGGGGGTAGCCTCTCTGCACCGTCTCGCAATGCAGCCGCCGGGGCCTGCATGTTGAGCCCCTACCTGGGAGCCCCAAAGGCTGGTCTGGGTGGGGCCCGCAGAAGCCAGCCTCCCTCTGTGGTGGGGTTCTGGCTGGCCCTTATCTCTCCTTGGCGCAGACGCTATGGGAACTCCGGGAGCCTCACATCCCGCGGAGGCGGGGTTGCTGAGCTGGCCGAGTCCGCTAGAATCCGGCCGGGCGGGGGACAGAGAGTGGGGGGGGAGCCTCGATCTGAGATGGCTCCTCTCTGGCCCCTGGATCCTGCACACCCCGCCTGGGGCTCATTACCCCACCTGTAAAAGTAGGGCGTGTTTGTGGTGATCATAGGAGGCCCTGCCATTTGAAGTCCAGGGCCGTAGCAGGAAGATCTGTGCCGTAGGGGACCCAGGCGCGTGGAAGGCTAGCGGAAAAAGGGAAACCCCGCGGCTCTCCGCACCCGGGAGACCGGTGCAGCCCGGCGAGGGCGGAGGCGGCGCGCTGGGGTCCGCCGGCTGGCTACTGGCAGGAGATAACCCTCCAGCCCCACCTCGTGGCGGGAGGAAACGCCGGGAGCCTGCCCAGAGGGGACCTGGGGATTCCAGACTTCCCAACGATCAGGAATGGAGAACCACGCCGGCAAATATTTATGAAGGGAGCAGCTAGGAACACCAGCTCTTGGCGAACTCATGTAATAGTAATAACATAATGGCAGCTAGCATTTATTGAACATGTGCTACCAGCCAAACACAGTACTTAACATCCTCTAGTCATTTTGTCATTTAGAGTCTTAATAATCTTTGAAGCAGGTACTATTATTCCCATCTCACAGATGAGAAAACTGAGGTTTAGAGAGAATGAGCAGCCTGTCCAAGTCCACACTTAATGGAGAGAGCTGAATCACCACAGCCCCCAACATTTTACAACTAGAGACTTGAGAATGTGGAGGGACAGTCCCAGTTTGCTGTGAAACTGAAGTAATCAGGGCTTCAGCGGCCCTCCACCCCGCAATGTATGGCTAACTGCTGTGTTCCTGCTCCAGTGAGTGGCTTCCACCTCTCCCTCTATTTTAAAGAATAGTATCTGTGGCCACAAAAGTCTGAAGCCAAAGGACAGAGCTTTGCTTCTCTGATGCCCAGGATCCTTGGCAGAAAAAGGCTCTAAGAATTAGAGACTGGGGAAAACTGAGCAGTTAGGAACTTCCTAGAAGGGTGGAAACTGTCCTAAGTTACAGAAGGCTTGGGTTCCAGGCCTTGCTCTACTTCTAACTGGTTATGTGATCTTGGGCAAGTCCCGTCTCTTCTCTGGGCTTCAGTTTCCTTCTTGTACAATGGAAGGATTCTTCTAGATGATCTAATAATCCCTTTCCTTTCCCCCAGCCTCCCCTTATCCCTCCCTGTGCTACCTGCACCCAAACTGGCTCTGCATTCCCGGAACAGCCTTGAACTGAGGTTTAAAGGTCCCAGGTAGGAGTCACAACCCATTTCTGAGTTTCCTCCTGAGCTCTGGACCCTGCGCATTAGGTCCTGGTAGGGTATCTGACCTTGGCAGGTTGGAGCCATCAGAGGGGAGAATGGCCCTGTGCTTCTGAGACAGGCCTGGGGTGGGGGGGCTGCATTGTGATGACCTCACCCACTCTATGACATCACCCTCTCTCCTACCCCCACTCCTCCCTGATCAACTGCTCTGCAAACAACCATCAGTCTGAATCCCAAAGGCCTGAGAAAGCTGTTCTCCAGTACTTGATGCTGATATTTGACTCAGCCAGCAAGAAACACCATGAAATTGGAATTCACCGAGAAAAACTACAACAGCTTTGTGCTACAGAACCTGAACAAACAGAGGAAACGCAAAGAGTACTGGGACATGGCCCTGACTGTGGACCACCATGTCTTCTTTGCACATCGCAACGTGCTGGCTGCTGTCTCTCCACTGGTGAAAAGCCTCATCTCCAGTAACGACATGAAGACCACTGATGAGCTCTTTATCACCATTGACCCCAACTACCTGAGTCCAGCCACGGTGGACCAGCTCCTGGACTACTTCTACAGTGGCAAGGTGGTTATCTCAGAGCAGAATGTGGAGGAACTCCTTCGTGGGGCCCAGTATTTCAACACACCACGCCTTAGAATCCACTGCAGTGACTTCCTGATTAAGTCCATCCGCCGTGCCAACTGCTTGCGCTATCTCTTCTTGTCAGAGTTGTTTGAGCTCAAAGAGGTATCAGACTTGGCCTACTCTGGCATTCGTGACAACTTCCACTACTGGGCCAGTCCTGAGGGCTCCATGTACTTCATGCGCTGTCCACCCATCATTTTTGGCCGCCTGCTCCGAGATGAAAACTTGCATGTGCTCAACGAGGACCAGGCTCTCAGTGCACTCATCAATTGGGTGTACTTCCGGAAGGAAGAGAGGGAAAAATATGTCAAAAAGTTCTTCAGTTATATCAATCTTAATGCCGTCTCCAACAAGACACTGATGTTTGCCAGCAACAAGTTGATGGGCATCGATAACAGCTCAGTCCATGCAGCCCTGATTGAGAGTGTCCTTGCGGACCGCAAGCAGGAGAAGCCATGCAGCCTGCTGAGCTACCAGCGGAAAGGGGCCCTGCTTGATTCAGTGGTCATCCTAGGTGGCCAGAAGGCCCACGGCAAGTTCAACGATGGCGTGTTTGCCTATATCATACAGGAGAACCTGTGGTTGAAGCTCTCAGAGATGCCCTATCGGGCAGCAGCACTTAGTGCCACCTCTGTTGGTCGTTACATCTACATCTCTGGTGGCACCACTGAGCAGATTTCAGGGCTGAAGACGGCTTGGCGGTATGACATGGATGAAAACTCCTGGACCAAGTTGCCTGACCTGCCAATTGGGCTTGTCTTCCACACCATGGTGACCTGCGGGGGGACAGTGTACTCAGTGGGTGGGAGCATTGCCCCAAGGCGGTATGTCTCTAACATCTATCGCTATGATGAGCGCAAGGAGGCCTGGTGCCTGGCAGGGAAGATGAGCATCCCTATGGATGGCACAGCTGTGATCACAAAGGGTGACCGGAACCTGTACATTGTCACTGGGCGGTGCTTGGTGAAGGGCTACATTTCCCGGGTCGGGGTGGTGGACTGCTTTGACACCAACACTGGGGACATGGTCCAGTGTATCACTTTCCCCATTGAGTTCAACCACCGGCCCCTGCTGTCTTTCCATCAGGACATCCTCTGCGTGCACAGCCACCGGCAAAGCGTGGAAATCAACTTGCAGAAGATCAAGGCCAGCAAGACAACTGCCTCAGTGCCTCTCTTGCCCAACAACTGCCCCTTGGATGTGTCCCATGCCATATGCTCCATTGGAGACAGCAGAGTGTTTGTATGTGGGGGTGTCACCACAACCAGTGATGTCCAGACAAAGGACTACACCATCAATCCAAATGCCTACTTGCTGGACCAAAAGACAGGCGAATGGAAGACCCTGGCCCCTCCACCAGAGGCACTGGACTGTCCTGCCTGCTGTCTAGCCAAGCTTCCTTGCAAGATTCTTCAAAGGATTTAAACAACTTTCTAAGTGGGGGAATACGTAAATGCATTATTATTCACAATTTAAAGAGAGAGAGAAAGGAAGGAAGATGGCCTGTTGCTTCATTCTTTGTGTTCCATTCTGTGTTTGGCCCTGAAGGTGCAGACCCTGGGCTAGGGATGCTCCCAATAGGGTGAAATTCAGGGCCACTCTGTCACTGGTGGGATTTAAGCTGAGTCTGGGAAGGAGTTCCTGGTGGGTAGGATTGAGGCATTGCTCCCAGTGGGTGGAAATTCATAGCCACTCTGTCACTGGAGGGATCCAATCTGAGGCTGGAAAGAAGTCCCTGGTGGATGAGATTGAGTCGTTCCCTGGGAACTAGCCAAGGTGCTATCCGGAAAGTCCCTTATTCTATACCCCTGGAGTCACCTTACAGACATCTGCTAGACTGACAGGTAAAGCATTTGCTTAGCTGTGAAGTCTCAGGCTCCTCCAACACTCACTTCCCTCGAGTTGGCCCAGAGAAGCAGGGGAGGGCTAATGCCAGGTCTGGGAGAGGAGCCTCTTGGGCTGGGGAAGCAGAGGTGGTGTGGGTCCAGCTCAGGAGCGGTGCACAGAGAATGGGGTGGGGGTGGGGGGAGGCAGGGTTACCTGGCCGTTGCTTTTGACCATGAAGTTATGATGTGTCTGTGTCTCATTTGTGGGGAAGTTGGGGGTTTACTTACAATTGTGCCAGTAAGCAATTTTCATTGAGAACTCGCTCCAGGAATATGAGGTCTGAGGGACTCGGGTGGAAGAGAGGTCAGTAAAGGAAGAGGAAAGAAACCTATATCTATTGGATAGAAGCTTGGGGATGAGGCAAGGTGACAGAATGAGACACAGGATGGTGTAGTAGTTAGGGGTTTGGATGCTGGGGACAGAAGGCCTGGTTCAAAACCAGTCCCATCACTTACTGTGTAATCCTGGACAAGTTACTTAACATCTCTATGCCCTAGTTTCCTTATCTCTAAAAGGGAAATAATAAGAGTGCCTGCCTCATAGGGTGATGTGAAGTTTGAATGAGTTACTACATGGAAAATGCCTAGCACAGTCCCTGGCATATATTAAGAAGTGCTACAGGAGGACTTTTTGAAAAGGAAAATAAAGGGATGAGGAAAGGGTCCAGGTTCTTGGGCCCTTAATTAAGTTAGATCTCCTAAAATGCTCTTTGAAACTCCCTACCTCAAAGCCTTGATGAACTTTTCTTAATTCTAACTACCTCTGATTCCCTTTCATTCATCTGTGTACTCACATATAATCCTCAACAATTTAGAAAAAGCTGACCAAGTCCTTGAACACCATATATAATCCTCATTCACCCATTCACCCATTCATCCATGAATTTACTTATTCCTCCACTCATCAATTCAAACACACCATTCAACGAAGCCTTTCTGTGCAGGTGCTGGGGCCACAGTCACAACACAGGCAATCCATGTCCCTGGGAGGGAGTATCTATACCAGTGTCGTGCAACAGGAATATTAATCAAGCCACATACGTAATTTTAACTTTTCTAGTAGCCATGTTAAAAAGGTAAAAGAGGGCCGGCCGAGTGGCGCGATGGTTAAGAGCTGGCTTGGGACGCCATAGGGCCCCAGTTCGGATCCCACATATGAGGGTGCCAACTTGGGCCAGTGAAGCAACGTCCTCCACAACTAGACTGAAGAACAAAAAGACAGCAACTTGTCTGTTCCCCTTCACCCAATTCCCCAGCACTGTTCCCATCGTCCCAATTTCCCAATAAAAATCTTAAAAAAAAAAAAGGTAAAAGAAACAAGTGAAATTAATAATATATTTTATTTAACCCAATATACCCAAAATATTATCATTTAAACAATCAATGTAAACGTTTTTAAATGAGATTGTTTAACTTTTTTTATGCTGTCTTTGGAGTCCAGTATGTATTTTACACCCACAGCAAGGCTCATATTTATTGGACATTTGGATTTCCTCTTTTGTGAAATCTTTGCTTTTTTCTATTTGGTTGACTATCTTCTCTTATTAACTTGCTGGAATTCTTAATATATTATGGACATGAGCCATTTATCAATTACACATGTGGTAAGTATCTTCTCCCACTCTGGTTTGCCTTTTCACTCATAATGTTGTATTTTAATATTGCTTAATTTGTCTCTTTCTTTTTGGTTACTGCTCTTTGATACTTGAATAAAGTATTCTCTATCCTGAGGTCATGACTATCCCATATG